AACGTATTCCTGAGGCCGAGGCGATTCTCCCACATTTTTTTGCTAAAGATTTCGTTAGAAAAATATTTCGGAATATTTAATTACCCATCATTAGTCAAAGTCGGTCAGTGACCTTCAACTTTTTTATGGAACTTGATTCGGTATTGTTGGTCAACACAAAGGGATTATTTTTCTATTCGATAATTTGTTATTAACAAGGCGTATACGCGTGAAACTAAAGTTGTGCAAGGGGAAGGGATTTTAATGGGCTCTGATGAACGTAGTTTGCGATCATAATTAGATATAAAACACAACGGTGCTCCTACTCGTATAGTAACCTGTCTATAATTTCCAAAGATGATCCAAACTATGTTGGGGTAACAACAAATGCTTATTAAAGGCTAGAAGATAATAGGAAGGTGTCTCTATATCAATTCATTTTCACTCACTTGCAGAATTTTTAACTTAAGCAGTATAAGGTAGATGTCCTTGAATAAATTTATTTTTTGGACTAGCCATCAAAATACTTCGTTGAAAAAAAGGTCCTACTCTTACTCATAAAATTATTTTATGCATTGACTCATGTCATACGTATTGTAAGGGTTCTTTTAAGATTTCATCCTCACATTACTCGATGTTTAATTTATCTTTCGTGTACTTTGTATAAGCATGCGCTAGATATTACTTAAAGTGTTTATGGTATTCACCAGTTATTTAGTATAATTTTAATTGGATTGTTCGATGTTCTGTATGTCGTATCAGTATTATCCGAATTATTTTATAAAGAATGACCACACGCCCTTCGAATCTGGTTTAAAGGTTAGCTGAAATGGTCCGAATATAGTCCGGTTGTTTGTTCATATTTTTAGTGTTTTAACCTTCACACTTGTGATCATTTATAAGTAAATTCAAAGTAGATGTATGCTTGGCGTAAAAGAAATTTCGTTGTTGTGTAGACCATTTGTTATTACCGATCAGTCTGTAGGTTACTATTAAGTAGTATTGAGTGACTCTGTAACAAAATTTTACATTTTACTCATTTATGAACAATACGTTACTGATATACGGATTATTTTTCTCGTCAGACTTTTTTAATAGTTTGTACAGTTACAGATAACAATTCTATACCTATTAGCACTATCCAAATGACTTTAGAAATTTTTTTCGACTTCTGAAAAATATTTTTCTTTCTTTGTCATATGTGTCCTCTTTTCCCAAATTCTTTCGGCTTACAACGAATTCTTGGTATTGCTCTTTTATACTTTTGAGAGTCATACAGGAGATACTACGGAAACTATATATGCACTGGTGGCTATTAAAAACTGCTGTCAAAGTTTTTAATTGGCAATATTCTCAGTTTTTTAAGTATTTTAGACGGTTTCTTCTTCAATAATGAGTGAATTCATGATCTGCTTATCTGGTGTGTATTTTACAATGTCTTTATACTATGCTTACACTATTTAAATAATTGGATACTTTCCGCGGTTATAAAAAATTACAAGACCTTCCAATTGTTGGTCCTTTTAATACCATCATCGCTACTGGTCGTTATTTTGTTAAATGTTTCCGATATTTTGCTCACAGTTGCACTAGTTATCAAGGCGACTGTTGCCAGTATTCCCCAATTTATAGTATTTATTTAATAAAGTATTGTAACTTACTTTGAAGTTGTGGTCGAACAATTGGAGAATTATTTTCTAATCAACGACTGTTGTGAGTTCATATCATGTTTTAAACTGAGCTGATCTATGCTAAAACTGTTACAAATACGAGTACTTTGGACTTATGGCATAAATGACAGTTACTCTACAACTTGGAAGTTTCTTTGCCCAAGACTCGGGTTATCTAGTCAATTATTGTTCCTTGTTCATAATATTTCGTAGATGGTTACAAAATATGTTTCTACAATTGTTATATGAAGGCCAATTATTGTGGCAATTCAACCTTTTGTGAATTTGGCCCAGGTATGATTATGTTAGGTATCTGACGTTTGTTTATCTGACCTGGTTTATGATATAGACTTTTTTTAACAATTTGTGTACGGAGCGCAGACGATTAGAATTCTATTAAAAGTATTCCTATATCGTTGTAAATTTTTTTCGACTTTTAAAATTATTTTTTGCATTTTGTTTAAAGGTTACTTTTTTCCAAATATCTTTGGGGTTGGGACGTATGCTTGGTATTTTGTTCTAGTACTTGCATCATCAACGTAGAAGATATTCTTAAACCGATATGGATTGCGTTAATGTTTTAAAAGTTTCAGAGAATATTATTTGTCTTTATTGTTGGTTTTTTTTATGTCTTTGACAATTATAATTTTCGAAACTGCCTAAATTCTTGTTTCGTCTAAACCATATGCAGTGTAGAAGTTCCTTTATCATTCTACACCTATTCCAATTGTTTATCAGTACTGGTTGTTGACAAACAGTTACGACCTTAAGTATTATTATTCTTTTTAATGTCTTGATCCTTACTTCGTTAATATTCGACTATGTCTTCCCATTTCCTGTCAAAGAAGAGCTGGTTAGTCCTAAATTAATTCCAGGTATTTCCCAGTTTTAATATATATCATACATACAATCACTTCGTATTTCGTAATTTATTCTATTAACTTGATAAACAACTCGTCTAAACTAATTTTATTATCATGCCAATGATACAAGGATACTCTATGGTATATTAAGCCAATTGACGACAGTTTTTTCTGCTCGACATTTGCTAAAATTTGTAATACAGAAGGGCTTTGCTTTTCTAAAAGCAACTAAACTACATATTTCTACTTATTTTTTATACATAAACAGTAGCAGGGGCCATAGTTTTAATTTCTACAAGGTGATAATTTGCCAAAGATATATTGGCCCTCCATATTGGAAGTAAAATAACAAAGTTACAGTCTGTAATAAAACTGGGCTGTACTTTATAATAATGCTAGAGGTCAGCCAAATGAATGAATCCTACCTTGAAAGTAACTTTAGACCAAAAAAGCAAGAAACAATTATATAGAACAATACTTTGCGATTTCATCATGAAAATAGACTAGAATCCCGTACAATTTACCTAAAGTACGCCTAGAAACAATCCTAAACTAGTACTTTTCATGCCTGCCGTTGTCCAGCCAATCATCGCACAGGAACCTCCAAAAAAGTCAATTTTTTAAAAACATTATTTTTTTTCAAAAGTCCCAAAAAAAGAAAACGCGGAGTTTAAACTATTTCGTAAAAATTATCAATTTTCAATGCAGCTTTATCCAATCAAATCCTGTCGGACGGAGTTGAAAATAGTACCGTTCGAAAGCGGTGTTTGCGGTGCAAAGCGTAATGGAGCCGGATTGTTTGTTTTTATTCTAAAATTGTTTTTAATAGTGAAATAAAAATTGTTTCCCTGCTTAAAATCATGCATTTTGACTTTAAACCTGTGTAACTTGCCTTCTGCCAATCAAAGGTGGGGCATGTTATATATTTTTGAACTCGCGTGATTTTTCGCTATTTTTAGAGATTCTTTTCCATGTTTCGTCAGGGGTACTATTATTTCTGTTCCTTTACTGCTAATATGTTTTATTGTTGTTGATTTCGTTTTTTTTTTTGTTGTTGTGTTTTTTTTCTTTATTGATATATGGTTTAATTTTCGTTCTTCTATATTTGTTATTTATTAATTGAAGAACGGTATATAAGGGTTGTCTAAGTAATTCGTGTTGTCTAGGCGATATGGTTTGTCATATTTATCTTGTTTAATTGTAGTCGTCATGGTGATAAATAATTGTTATATTGATCATTAATCTTTACTGTCCTTAATATACGTCTTATTAATCCTTATTCGTCATAGTTTTCTTTGTTCGTCATAGTTATCTTTGTTATTCATAGTGATCAATCTTCATCATACTTATCATTTATCCCCATAGTAATCTTCCTGTCATGGCTATTTCTTCGTCGTAATTATCTAGTTGCTATCGTTATGTCTTTGTCATAGTCATATGGGTATCCTAGGTATCATGTTGCCTTAGATACCATGGATTCCTTTGTTATGTTGTTATCTTAGGCAATAAAGTTGTCTTAGTGATAATGGGTTATCTAGATGATGTTCGTTGTTTGTCTACGTTAGATTAGTTGTCTTAGTGAATAATCATTGTCATAGTGATCAATATTGGTCATGGTGATTAATGTTAGTCATAGTGATAACTGATCTTCATAGTGTGGTATTTATCGTAATGTTCTAATTGTCGTAGTTATTCTTTTTGTTGGCATAGAAATCTAGTTGGCTTGTTCATCCTGTTGTCATAGGTATTTAGTTGTCATAGGTTTCTAGTTGACATGGTTATGTATTCATCATACTTAACTCGTTGACATAGTTGTATGTTGTTATAGATATCTGGTAGTCATGGTTATCTTTGTATCCATAGTGATCTGCGTTGTCATTTTGTTATCATTAGTCATAGTTATCTAGTTGTTATATTTGTCTCGTAGTCACAATTATCTGGTAGTCATAGTTATCTGGTTGTCTACGAGATCTTGTTGTCTTAGTTATCATGATGTCCTGGATATGTTGTGACCTTATATATCATGTTACCTTACATATGCAGTTGTCATAGATATCTTCTTTTCTAGGCTATCTTATTGTCATATATATCTTGTTTTTGCTACCTACCTGATTGTCCTAGTTAACTGGTTGTCATAAATAACTTGGTACCGTGGTAATCTAGTTGTCTTAGATACATGGTTGCCTTGCATATCTTGTCCTCCTGCATTCCTGTTGTCGTGGCAATCAACTCGTCTTACATATTTAGTTGTTTTAGATAACTTGTCGTCTTACCTATTTGGTTGCCTGCGTAATATGTTATCATAGTGATTTGGTTGTCATAAAAATTTGTCGGTCCAAGGTATTATTTTCTGTGAGTTACAGGTATTCTGAGGTATAATGTCATTTTACAAATCTTGTCGTCTTAGATATCCTATTCTCTTAGAAATGTTGTTATCATAGTTATTTAGTTTCCATACTTGTTTGGTTGTTCAAGATACTTTTTGTCATGGAAACACTACTGTCTTGTTGTCTTAAGTCTCATGTTATCTCGGATATCTTGCTGTCTTTTAATTGATGTTCTTGTCATAGATATCTTATTGTTCTATTTACCTCGTTGCGTCAGATATAAGTTATCGTAGATATCCGTCGTCGTAGTTATCCATTGTCGTAGATATCCGTTGTCTTAGGTATCTTTTGTCTTAGATATAATATTCGCTTAGATACGTCGTTGCCTTGGATATCTGGCTGTCTAATTTATCTGGTTGTCTTATATTTCTCGTTGTCGTGCGTATCATGTTGTCTGAGCGATTTCGTTGCCTTAGCCACATTGTTGCCTTGGATATTTCGTTACCTTAGTAACATTGACGTCTTGGATATACTGTTATCCCGTATGTCTTGCTGTCATAGATATCATATTATCTTCGTCATATCGTTGTCCAAGATATCTAGTCGCCTTAGATATCTTGTTGTCTTAGTTACTTGGTAAATTGAATTGTCTGTCGTCTTGGCAATTCCCTTTTTCTTGAATACTAGGGTCTCTTGTCACCTTAATCGACCTGCATACGTTATTGTATTTGCTTCTTGACGCTCTTGGATTTTATGTTGCTCTCAATATTCTGCTGGTATTTTATTTTTTGGTCCTTGTCCATTTTCATTCCAAGTAACCTATATGGGTTTTTCTCTAAAATCCATAACTATGTATGATATGTTGCATGACATCTCTCCTTAATTGTGACCTGTACATACTTTCAGGCTTGATGAATTTTTACGACTTCATCATTTTTTTAGGAATTATTTGATAACAAGACCTATCTGGCCTTTTGTTTACATATTGCAGACAATTCTGAATATATTTGCATTGCTCCCATGGCGTTATAAATTCATTCAGACTTTTAATTTTTTTTTTTTTTTGTATATATTTATGTAAAACATTTATTTTTGTTTGCCTTTCTTTCTACTAGTGCGCCATGTTTAGACGGCTGGTTCCTAACAGTTATGATGATTAATAGCATGTCATGGGAGAGCGATTTATCAAGGTCCCATCATATAAACGTCACTAAGAAACTATTATTTTATGATATTATCTTTTTTTTCTTGATTTCAATAAAGTATTTAGTCCCACAATGCGTCTATTGGTGTTTTTCTGACATGGCGTGTGTTAATATACTCTCTATCTTAATCTATATCCATTCGGCTTCTCCTTCATTTCCGAATGTGGTCGTAACAAACTAATTTTAGTCCATTTTCGTCTCTTTAATCAATATGTCTATTTTTTGAGAATATGGATGGAATAACAATAAATCCCACACAAAAAGATGCTTGGAAATACCAGATCTTCTTCAGCATGTCTCATTTCATTTATACGTCCGATGAAAACTTTATCTCATACTCAGTAATTACTTGATATAGACTTTATCACGATTGTATGATGATTGTAAACTCGTTTTACTTGGTGCAATGCTTCTCTGGCGTACGCCGAAACTATTTCAAAAACCGTTGATGAACAAGATCATTTGATAGAATATGTATCTTCCACCAATCCCTATATTGGCTTCGTACGTTTGGTACTTTGTTTAATGTTGTTTAATCCTTACTATATTTTCTAGGACGTTGCCCTATTATGTGCTAGATCGATTAAACAGACATTTAATTATGTGGTCACATATCGTTTCTTATATTTTGCACAACAATCTACGACCTTATAGTTCCTACTTTATTATTTTGTCCTTCACTTCATCATTTTTGGTGATGGACTTTTTTGTAGTTGCTTAAACAGCTTGGGGTTACTTTTTTCAGCGTAGTTACATTATTACGATGTTTTTATAAGCATTCTAAGTACTTTTTAACTTCTAAGAAAGACTTTTCTGTCTTTCCATAAAATATTTTCCTTCTGGCAATCTCTTTCGGATTGATACCACACTTTAGTTTCCTGTTTTCAAACTCTTGCGAGAAGTGCATAAGATGTTGTTTTAATTACTTCTGTTTTTGTGGTCATTTAAATGTGTCTTAAAAACAATATCTTGTGATATTTTCATTTTTTACTTATTCATGGACACATTTAGTTCAATACGAATTCATTTCATTACCTACTGATTTTGCTCGCGGTGTACGTAGTTTTTAACGTAATCTGAAAGTATTTCAATCTGCCTTCCATTCTGGCTTTTGTGCAAAGGGTCATTACTTACCTATTGTTACCTATTGTTTGGTTTTTTTTTTACATGTCGGTACTTTTTTCTTAGTCATTGATCAATCTTTCTTTTACTTGGCACAAACACGGGCGAGACACTGCAAAAAATTTTATATCACTAGCAACCTACTAAGAAGTTTTAAAAAAACTGTCAGATATTTTTTGTTTCCTGTCCATCGATACCGCAACTATTGTATCCAAACATGATCCGAAGATCTTTGTGTTTGGTTAAAATATTCACAGAAATGGTTAAAAAGAGTCCTGTTATTATTCATGCTTTAGAAGTTATTACCTTCTTACGCGCGGTGATTCTATAAATACACTCTAAGATAATGTTTGGCGTATAAATAATCGCCTTGTTCTTTTGATGATTTCTTATTAGAGCTTATATTGTACGTCACTACAATATACTTATGAGTGAATTCGTAATAAATCGCTACAATTTAGCCATTTATTACCACTAGTTGACATATAAACAAACTATCGTCCTTTCTACTCTTCTTTTAATAGATTTTACGCTCAAAGATAATTATTCTAGACCTAAAAAATATTTTCCCAAGTCTTTGAAATTTTTTTCAATTTCTGAGAAATATTTTTCTGTTTTTGTTTCTGTGTCCTTTTTATTTATTTATTTTATAACGTATTTGGTTGATTACTAAGTCAGTTTACGTTCTGCCTATCTCGTATGTATTTGACAGAGTCTTTGGAAAGGGACAGAAGTATTTAAATGTGCCAAAAGTTGCTGCTTTCTTAAAAAATTCGATCAACTACTGACTATTCGTGTTTTTAGTAAATTCATTGCGCACTTTGTGTCATTTGCTGATTCATTTCTACATTTTAATTAAAGCTGCCCTACCAAGTACTACCACCGTCACAGATATTCCCTATCACTTGTATATCGTTCATCAAATAATTCAATCGATTTTTAGTTATCATTTAACAATTACAGACTTACTTCATCAACAATGACTGTTTGGTGTTTATATATTGTTTAAACATTAGCTAGTAAATTCTAAAACTGTTACAAGTACTGCTTGTTTAAGCATATGGTATAATTAATAGGTATTCTGCAACTTCGACATTTTTTGATAAAATCTTTTGTTTTCTGGTCAATAATTGTTCTCTGTTCGTAATATTTAGGAGATGTATACTCCATATCAAGCTTCGACTGTTATAACAAGGCTATTTACTGCGTCAGTCAAACTTTTTGCGTAGTTGACAAAAGTATTTTTGGGTTTTTATTTCTGACTGTGTCGTGTCTTTCCTTTATGGTAGAGACTTTTTTTAACAATTTAATTAGACTTCCCAGGCTATTGGCATTTTATTAAAACTACTCCTACGTCTTTATAATTTTTTTGGGACTTCTGAGAAATATTTCTTGCCTTTATGTGAATTATACTTTTACTAAAATATCTTTTGGCTGGTGATGGTTACTTGGTATTTTGTTCTCATACTTGCTCCATGAACGTACAAGTTTTTCCTAAAACTGTCCAAATGGCGTCAGTCCTTTAGAAGTGTCGGAAAAAGTATTATTTGGTTATATTGTCGGGTTTTTTATGTATTTAAAAAAATGTCAAGGTAAATATGGTGTCAATTCCGTTGCTGGTTACCCCAAATGCAGTGGAGATATCTCTTGTATCATGCTAAAACTATTCAAATTATTTATCAGTACTGGTTGTTGGCAAAAAAATTACCTGCCATACCGATTGGCGATACGGTTAATAACTTCCTCCGTACTCGCTAGTACTTAAGCACGTGTTCCCATTTTCCATCCAATAAAAATATGGAAGTACCATGTTAATTAGAAGTAACTCCTAATTATAATATATTTTATACACTGCATCTCTTGATTCTTGGTAATTTATTCCATTAACTTATTAGTTATGTCGTCAAAACTGATTATAACATTTTGGTACGAGCTTTGGCTATTTTCGTGAAAAAATGTCAAATTTCATTCGGTGAACAACTCTGTTTGTAGAAGCAAATATTCTTCTGTCTGTTCTGTCCGCCTTTTTGCTCTTGACCTTGGCCGATTGTATATTAATGAGATATCATAACAAGATAACTATCTGACGAAATTTGATAAATATCCCCAAAATAGGGTCATCCACTCGAATATTCCGGTATCAACCAGATAATTCGCTCCTAATAGTGAGATATACAATCTCATCCTTCACCCCAATATTTACCCTGCGGATAATTTAACACTCATCAACTAGAAGTCGTTTATTAATTCCTATAATCTTATATAGAAAAAACCGTCGACGCTCTCAAAGATTAGTGTCGATTATCTTTCGAACCGGATTCTTACATGTTGGTAACCGTATATCTAAAAGATGAGTATAACATTATACTCTATTCATCTAACTTTAGACTCATAAAAATTATAAAACCGAATAAACAAGTTTGCCCTAGAAATGTAACGTTAGAAATCCTCGAAGGCATTCATTATAACTTTATGTAGTTCCGAATTTCATTCAGGGTGCTATGTCTGTCAAGGCTAGGCCTTCAGAGGGAAGAACAGTGTAGAGCGCGTAGTGTATGGTACTAAAACATAAATACGTCAATGGGATCACCGTTCTTTGGAACAAAAGTAGAAACGTTAAAAAGACCTCGTTGTGTTACGTAGAATAACGTTCTTGTCTGTATCGTTCCCACATTTGTCCAGTGTTGTTAAACGTTTGTAAAAATAGTTTAGCTTCTTCCCTATCCATCGGTAATTTTATTTTGTTTTTATCACTAATACTCATCGAGTAATCCACCTAGCAAACATAGAAAAAATGCGCGGCGGACAGTTTAAAGCTACGTCGAATGGCTGTTGCGTGCTAGTGCGTTTCCACGTAAACTTCGTTCATCCAATTTATAACTTCCCATCGTGATAATCTCCACGGCTAACACTCCTTTCATTCCAAGCATGCCGTAAAGGCGCAAGACGCGTTCACCTCTAATTTTATTCTCATAACATTTTGGAGCCGAAGCACCATTCGCCACCATTTTCTCCTGCGCATCATGTGCAGAATAGAATCGATGCAAGATAGATTCCACAAATGTCATATATTGATACAGGCTCAAAATATTCTTCATCACTTGGCCTGTTTCATTCTTGAAATTGATAGTTTCAGCTACTTGGCTTAATTGAGCCGTTAATTCTTCCAAGTTTTTTGACTGCCTCAATTTGTCTAATGCCGCACCAGTACCACTTCTACGCACAACCAAATTGAGCTCGTTGGCTCTATCTTTAAATGTATCCTTATACGCACGGCTATTGTGTTTTCTTTCAAACGCAACATGACGTTGCTACGAAGTTCAGAAAATTCCAAATCTTCCAATCCTCTTGCAATGGTTACTCTGTCTGCTGCTGCTGCTCTTGTTGCTGCCTCCGCAGCTTCCTGCACCTCCTCAACCAATGCAGATGGTCTTGCTGTGGGTGGTCTAGCCACTGTTGTGGATATTTCTTCTGTTGCCGTTGTGGCTGATGATGCTGTTGTTGCTGCTGCTTGTGCTGCTGCTTGTGCTTGTGCTTGCGTTCGTCCTGCTGTTTTTGTTTCAACGTCAGCTAGCATTCCGGTAGCTATTGCTACAAACTCAGAATCTTCTGTTGTGTTTTAAGATAAAGTAAAATTATAAAAAGACTATAGGAGTAGTTTGAGACTGTTTATAAGATTGTCCTTTATTAATAAATGAAATGTACGAGTATTTATATAAAAGATTGTCTGCTGTGTTCATATCTCTAGTGCTATCTTGAAGTTATCATTGATTAACCAAAAATGTATACGATTATTACATAGTCACTAATTTAGTCTTGTTCTAATAAATGTTAAGTCTTCTTAACTCTCTTTGGTTTAAACTAAATTTTAAGTATTTCTCAGACGTACTAAATTAGACTGGTGATGTAATATCCTTATAGTTCTTACTATGACATTTATTGTTAAGCTTATATCACAAATGGTATCAGCATGGATAAACCTTTGTTAGCTCTAATATGGCTATAGCCTTGCTAGGTCACCACATCTTCCTTTGAAGATGTTGCTGTTGTTGTCTCTGATGCTGCCCTTGTTGTGGTTGCTGGTGGTGATCCTTGTCGCAAAACACACCAATCATATACAGTCAGTCTTCCCACAGACTTATCAATCGTTAGCCAACCAACTCTTCTTTCATTCATACTCTCGACGTCGTTCTAAATCTATTCACACCAAGATATTCTTGTGATATTTGATAAAATGCACGTATAAAAATAATGAGATAAAACGAATATTTTTATTAGGGTAAAAATAGACTAAAGAACTCTGCTGCTATGAAATAATCAATCCTTTTTATATTGCCAACATCTCATCGATTTATGATGAGTCAACCTTTCTGGTTTTGGAATAAATCTATATTTTAGTCATCCATCTTGTGTTATCTAAACTCTACTCGTTAGAATTGATTAAAGGTAACGTTGTCCCAGATGTGTGAAACGGGAACACGAGTATTCTGACAAATACTTGGTGCAGTGGCACACTTCTTTGTAAGATCGTGTAACGGATACTGTTAAAAGATACATACTTGTTTGTCAAGTGTAATTGGCAATAGAACATAATAGTTGTAATTGATCATTTATGCTTTAATTTTCTAATGCATAAAATACGATCCCAAATATAGAATATCTTATCGAAATTTGTATATTTGGTTGTAGAAGATACACAACCAGGTGTAAACTTTAAAATTTCAAGACCATTTTTTTCCCAAAAAAAAAAGTAAAAATAGATATGAAAAGAGTTTCCTTTTTGGTTTTGTGGTTTTGTTTACGTTTCCTTGCTGTACAAACAAAACAATAAAATACAAATACAAAATACGAAAATAGTTTTTTTTTAAAATTGCCTTAAAAAGCGAAATTTATTTATATAAAAAATTGGCCCACAAAATCAGAAACCGGCAAAAAGCGCCTGTTTGCCCCTCGGGGCTACGCAGGCCGACCAGGCAGGCTATTCAGCCTTGACAGACAGGGCAGACCACGTAGCCCAGACAGGCCACGCATGACACGTATAGCAGACAGTGAATTCAAGCTAGAAAACCCACGCAAAACTGATTCTGTTTGAGCTGAAGCTACGGAAAAAGGTATTAATGTGATATTCAAGTGTCTGTGGTAGATGTTGTACTTACATTTTATCCGTGCTTAAGCAGTATCACGAGCTAATTTTAAAGTGAATAATGTGTTTAGTAAAACGTAAAATGATTATGTTAAAATTATAGTACCTTGTATGAAGCTTTACGCGATATATCTATTGACAAATGAAACGCGTTATGTATTAGTTTAGGATGTAAAATAATCACCAAGATATTACTTACGGTATTTCAAAGAGAAAAGAGCCTCTAAAAAATAAAAAGGCGTTTGTTAGTGATATATTATTACAGGGAAGCACAGTACAGAATAAAGTATACCTTTATAGATACACATCTTGAAAGTAAAAGGGGATAGAAGATTATATTATTGCATAAGTCATGAAATAGCTACCTTTTTCGCGTTTGACTTTGATTAAATTGACTGTGAGAGAAGAATTAGTAGAATGACTTATGATAGTATTGTTAAGACAGATGTTCTATGACATACCATTGTTCATAAGCATCATAATATTACAAGCAATAATCACGCGTTTGTGAAGACACGCCACGGTTTTAAAAAAATACGTAAGAGAAAGAAAAGCGACCTAAGAAAGTTGGGTTGCGTGACAAAATATCGTTCCGCAATGACGTTTGTAAATTATTGCACCAATCAAATTGACAGCTTATGTCCGCATAAGCTAAGCATTAAACACATTTTTTGATCTGAACGATATATAAACCAAACACAATCCCCAGAGTGCACTTTATTAAAAATCTTTATTTTATTATAAACAACTTACTTTAATTTTAAAACACTATGAAAAAAACACCTGGAACAAATAAGTTCCGTGCAAAACCTGCTTTACCGCCTCAGGAGCAAACGTGTGTGTTATGTAAATACAGTACAATTAATCGACACTCTTTTAAAGTGCATCAAAGATCAGGACACCACTTAGAACTTCTGGAGGCGATTCAGTCCAATCAAGGATCACTACCTGCCAATGACATCCAACAACAGTAAGTGAGCGTCTTCATCAATTTAAAAATAGTCAGTTTGTACTTATCATTATTATTTTTAGGAATACCTCTGACGAACAACCTACTATCCCGCTAAGCGAATCTCGTAGTTCTGATATGGAGTCCATTGAAAGGTAAAGTTATTTAAGGCTGTTAAATATATTCAAATTACTTACATCAATATACATTAGACCAATCCAACCTGAACGCACTGCCGAACCATTGTCTGAACCTGCAAATGAATTTGATGAAAATCAATATGATGATTATGATGGTGACGGTGATGATGATGAGCGTGATGATGGTGAAGAAGAATTCGATGGTGGTAATGCCTTTGACCATTTCAACAATGATTTTAACAACGGAGGGGAATCTGATGATGATAGCGAATCTAATGAACCTCCTGTTCCTGTTAACGACGTCAACAACGGCTCTAATGGTGATGGTGGTGATGATGGTAATGATGAATATCTTGATTTGAGTGGTGATGTCAACGACAATCCAGCATATCCTTTCAAAAATGAATACATAATGCATGCCCTTCTTTTCTTCAAGTCTGGTAGCTTTAAGTATTCAGAAGTCCAAATCAAATCAGTTCTTGATTTTGGTAAATATATGGCTGAAATTGCAATCAAAGAGTACAGAGCTCAACTAGCTTTGGATCCTTCTGATGTTATTTATGATTTCCGTGGTTATCCCACTCCCCACAGCGTTTCCAGATTTCACAAATCCAAGAAAAGTTGTATACCTTGTTTTCCTCATGCTCCCCATTGTGCGAAAGATGATAACGGCGGACTTCTTGTCGAACCTACTGAACCTGCCACATCAACTAGCACATCTGGTACTGCTACAGCAGCTGACGCCTCTGCTCCTGCTCCTGCCTCTACCTCTGCTCCTGCCTCTACCTCTGCTTCTGCCAATACCTCTGCTCCTGCCACTGATCCTGCTGCAACAACAAATACAACTGCTTCTGCACCCGCTGTTCCTGTTGTTGTCGCATCAAAGCCTGACTTGTTTCTTAATGATGTATCTGAACACTTGCGACTTCTCGTAGGTAATCCCTGTATGTCTGGTTTCCTGTCAGATCTTCCTGATCGAACACCTAACCAACGAATCAAGCTAAGTCAAGGTGAAAAGTGGAATTGTGATAGATTGTTTGAGCATCCCATGATAATTACTGGTCCAAATCTTCAACTCTGGGTATCGGATAAAGTCTCTTTGCTGTCTGAGAGCAATATTCCTCTTCGTGATCGCCAATATTTTAAAGTGGCCAAGATATTCCAAATATCAAAAGTTGTGAACGTTGATTTGTATCCAATTAAACCCGATAATAATCTTGAAATGTGCTGTTTATACGACATCCTTCTCCACTGTCCCATAACCGACCTTGACATCAATAATGTCTTTCGTGCCGAACATGAATCCTTCGATGCATTTACCAGCTTACAACAAATAAATGGTGACGATTATCTTTGTTCTAGAGATGTTGTTGCTAATACTCGATTGATTCGCGCTCATCATGACATGATTGATACTGGTAATAAGTACAAGCGTCCACTGCCCATTAGATCACGTATAAGAAGCATAAATCCCAATTCGCCAAACTACCAGGTCGTTAGAGTAATTCCGTACAACCTTTTCTCTGATGATACCAGTGGTAACTCCACATCAAAATGGAATTGTTTCGATTCGTGGTCGATGAATCCTGCCGCTGTTCCTCTTAGTGTTGCCAATCCTTATTTGAATCAATTTTTTATATGTGGATCAAATCGTCATACTGCTATGGAACAGTTGCCTTCCCTTGTCCCCGATTTGAAGAAACTGGAAACTGGTCTGCCGATGTTTGATGCTATTCTCAAGGAAGAAGTCTTTGTTGTTGCTCCTCTTTTGTTTATCAAGGCTGACAATCCTCGTCATGCCGAGGTTTCTTGTTTGAAAGCTTCAACAGCTACTTATCCGTGTAGAAAATGCTTCTGGTGTCGACATGCTGATGCTTTTGATCCTAATAGAATTACCACGGCCGAAGAACACATGTCAGTTCCAAGAGAAAAAGGTCACTGGATGAGTTTATTTCCAAGCGATGACTCGGATAGTACTGATTTCTCGATACGTGTTCGTAACAGACAGGGTGATTATATCATGGTCGAAAACTTGATGGACCTCGGCTTCAAGGAAACTGCTGGTAAAAGGCTTTTGACTTTGTCTTCTTGGGATCCTAGCAAGGATACACCGGTAGAAATTCTGCATGGCCTATGTCTCGGTTTAATCAAATACACGTTCAACAAAGCTGCTGATTGCTTTTTCAACAAGAAGCAGGTTGATCGCATTAGTATTTTGTGTGCAAAGTATGGGTCTAAGGCTTTTACCAATTTGTCGACGCATCTCAAAGGATACAAAAGCTTTCTTGGAAGAGACTTCAAACTTATGATTCAGATGCTCCCAATTGTTCTCAGAGTTGCTCGTG